ACAGAACAAACCCGAGAAAGCTGCACCAAGTCAAATGGCACAAGAAGAACACCTCAGGAAACGATGTGTCCTGGTCGTTACTCGTGGCTTCCAGTAGTTCTAATGTAACTGTTGGTGATGGATTCAAGCTCCATGGCAACGGGTCTTTACAGCTGCACGGAGGAAGGGCCGAGGAAGTTGTCACTTACAAGTGTGACGTCACTAAGAATGTTCCAAGTCGATTGGACAGACACATTATTGTCGTGAAAAGTGTTGAATGTCGAAGAGAAAAGCGTGAAGTTACCGCAGGTAAGGCTGCAACTGAGGAATCCTTTCTGATATTATTCGCTGACAGGAGTTTGGTGAACCAGACGTAAAAAGATTTGAAAAAAGATGACTAACATTCCCCTCTATTTTTAGGTTCTCATGTAAAAACAACCGCTGGTCGTGTTGCTATGACGACACCCATTACTGTCACCATGGAGACAATCTCTCCTTCGGTTTTCTCTGCTGTCAGTCCTGTGCATGGTACTAATAATATATTCTTGGTGTCTGTCATCATAATGGTTTGGCTGCTGATGAATCTTAGGGTAAAATTATGACCAAGTTGCTGAAGACTGAATCAGTATGAAGTCGGGCAAGACTCTTCCCCGTGTGGGATGATGTTCCTTCCTGTAACATGGGAAAGAAATAACCCTGGACAATCCTTACGACTCAAGATTACAGCAGCACCAAAACAAGGGCAATGAACAGTCCAATAGCTATATATACCAATGCGTCCATCATATGAGAATAACAGTATGTAACAAAGTCTTTGCTGTTGCTAGTCGGTCAATTTTCCTAACATAAGGTACACAACAAATTGTGGGGCTTTGAGACCATTACTCACAAATAATACTACATACTCTATTGATTATCAATTATCGAGACCATTCAAGTACTTACTGAAACAAGAGTGCGTTATTTAAGGAACTAATCATTGTTAACAATGATGGTTATCTTTAATAATGGGGCTATATGCATACATACTTATTTATAATTGGAAATATGTAAATATCTACTAGATGTACAATATATTGAAATAATCGATGCGAAAAGATTTAAGTGCCTTGCTATTTATCTGAAGCAGATTTAGCTATAATTCTCGAGGAGAAGTCATTTGTTTAAATATAAAATAAAGCCAAAAAATATTCGAAGGTGACAGATGAACACTATATATTTTTGACTAAGGCTAATCTACTGAAAAGCTTTTGCACTTAGTGGGAATATTATTACCATTATTATCATCATCATCATTATCATTGTCATAATCTTCATCTTCATCATCGACATCACATCATCTTCATTACTATATCATTATCGTGACGTCATCATTATCATTATTATCATCATACCCCATCATCATCATCTTTCATCATCATCATCATCATCATCATCA